TTTATTTATTTCTAGCATTTCCTTTTGATTATTTCTTAGTTTCCATCTCTCTGTTTTTACTGTCCATCTTTTCTTGCATACTGTCTACTTTTTCCTTACCTTATTAATTATACCTATATTAATTCCCTTCTTGATAATTCCAACATTTCTACCAATCTAAACCAGGTTCTGATGCTTGCTCTGTCTCTTCAAGTTGTGTTTTTTGTCTTTTTTGACACACTGACGTGATGTACTGGGTGAAAGGAATTAGGCCTTTAGTGTGAGGTTTTATATGTATCTGGCTAGAGGTTAGGATATGTTTACTCTTTGCTATAACTGTAGATATCAGTTATAATTTCCCTGTTGTCCTTATTTTTGTCTTCACTGTTACCTTTGGGTTTCCAGAGAGATTTATTTCTAAATAAGGCCTGCGGTGTGCTATTATTTCCTTGTATTCCCCTGTTCACACACAGAAGCCCTACTCATATGCTGGTAAGTTGTGGGGCCTATGATTAGGTCTCAGTGAGTCTTTTAGTGCCACTGGGTTGTATCCTTCATAATTACCTCTCAGGTTTTTTGGGGTTTTTTTTGTCTGTTTGTTTGCTTGTTTGTTTGTTTTTCCACTCCTGAGGTAAGACAGGAAGGCTAGAAGTTGCTGGAATTGCTTCTTTCCCTTTCCCCACCTCGAATGCTACTAGGAGCTAGAGCTAGGTATTTTCCTTTCTCCAGTTTTGTTAAATCCCAGTAAGTTAGTCTCTTTAAGTAGTTTGTCTTGAGGGCAGGTCACTAAGAAGAACAGAATGCTTTGGGTATATTTCAAAATGGCTACTTTTCCTTTTATTTGCCAAAATTTTGAGGGAATTTTTTCTCTAATTTTCAACATGAGAAACTGGTGGGGCTCTGAGAGGTCAAACTCACAAAAGTGTAGGGTCCCCTCAAGAATGTTTAACCTTGAAACTTGTCTACAGTGGGCCTTCAGGCTTTCATCAGTTTCATTCCGGGTTTTTCTACCCTGCTACTGGTTCCTACAGAATTTCCGTCCTTGGGCTTCTGCCCCAGTAAGCTGTGATTCTTTGTGTCCACCTATTATTCTCCTCAATTTAGAGGCAGTGGTCATGATGGCTCTGTGACATCAATTGTCTTATGGATCTAAGAAGAGTTATTGATTTTCAGCTCAGCTTTTTTCTTGTTGTTAGGACCAGTAGGACGATTTCTAATCTCTTTTATATGCCATATCGAGGACTGGAAGCCTGTGCTGTGTACAAGTAATGGATTGTTTCTCTACAACTCTAATTCCAGATTTGTAGAGGGCAGTCAGTAGTCCTACCCTACATTCACACATGGAGTAGGGTTCATGTAACATATGTGAGTGTGCTAAATTTTCAAATATATGGATAATGTTATTTCTCTTTTATTAAATAAGTTGAATGCCTATAAACTTTTCTTTTTGAAGGAAATTTTCCTTTTGATTACTTTTGATTTTTTTCTTTCTTCTATTATATAAATTTGAGTGTTTTCAAATGAAGCCATGAGAAACTGTACACTGATAAGGATTAAGTGTAGCTTGGTTCATTGCTTTACCCTATCCATGGTGATTAAAGAACAGACATCTAGCAGAATAGCTGAGAGTAACTGGGACCAAGTAAAGCCAAGGTTTTGTCTTGGTACTGCATTTCATGCACGAATTTCAATAAGATAAATACTAGTGAAATGGATTAAGTGTTTCTGATATCTGGAAGTGTCCATTAGGAGACTCTAAGTCAGTGCCAGCCTACCTTCCATGTTGCAGGCACTTGGAGATTGTGACTCGCTGCAGGAGAGGCACTTCAGGAAAATGTACTAATCGGGTTCTTTTAGTTCTTCACCAGGAAAACCTGCATACTTGGGTATTGTTGAGATAGCTGCTGTCTGGTTTCCATACTATTCTGTAATTTAATCATTAACTCATATTTTCTATTATCTCATATCTTTTGTGGAATGTTTTCCTTCAAAGGTATGCTCACTCCAGATAAATGTTGAGGTGTTTCCTCCTCAAAAAAACTTAACATATATTTAATTGAATGTTATTATAATATTTGTATTTAAATAACATATCATTTTATTCTATCTATGAAGTTTTCTTCAAGTTTTCCCTACCCTATATCATAAGCAGTTACAATTATAGTATCATCCTTGAATATAATATTGATTTAATATCTAAACATAATATTTTTATTTATGTATTCTTTGAATCCATATTTTATGATAAAAGTCATGATAAAATGATTGTTTTATAATATATAATGTTGACTTTTATTATATTAATGAGTATATGTCTGACCAAAATTTAGAAGATCAGAATAGAAGTAACCAAATTATTTGTCCAGCAGCTGATTTTAGAAGCTATTTCAAATAAGAAGTTATTATTGCAACATAAGTTGATTTTCAGTAAAATATGTGTAATAAAATATAAAATTAGGAACAAATTAAACTGAAATTATTTTTCAAGGTTATTAGCCATTTTACTTTTTCAAAGTAATAGATTTTTGGAAAATAATAAAAAAGAAAAATATTTTGCTGACAGTTATCACAAAAATTTCTCTAAAGACAATGAATATTGTTTTCATTGAAAGACAAAAATAAATAATATTAGCCTTTTTTAGGCTTCTCATTTGCCATAAAAAAAAAAACCAACATTATATGGAGCCCTTAAATGATCCTCCTATTTTTACCATTGGCTATATGGCTACAGAAACACTGGACATAGCATGCAATTATTCAATTTAATGCATTGGGAGTATTATAAATACATGTTATAATTGAAACAATCCATGAGATTGTGAAAAAGTTCATTGGAATTAAGTAGTGAATTAGTGAAGTTTATCGGAATGAATGAGGACTATAGTAGAGTAAAATATTGGGTACCATTGTTTGAAGTCTATTAGAGAGTTAATGCTCATGATGGGGCACGGGGGAGGGAGAACAGGCAGGGGATGTCACGGTGGATTTAGGAGAAGCAGAGTAAAAGAATGAGGGAAATGGAATTTGGCAAGAGCATGTAAGATTAATTGAAGATAAAGATGACTGAAAGAAAAATGAAATGAAAAACAATAAAAATAGATATATTAATAAAATACATTTATACTAGGGTTTTGAAAAAAGCAAAACATGTTGGGTTGTGTTTTCATGTAATTTGGTTTTCTGAATTGGTTTTTCCAGAAAAAGAGTTATAAAATAAAATAAAGCCATCCCCTTTTAAATCTTTATGTTGTAACTCAGGATTTATGAAGAAAAAAAAAATAATTCAACTTAGGTTGACTTTATAAAGTTGTCCTGTTATCATATTGAATTGGAAGCTTCTTACCTTTTTAATTTTTTTAAAATGGAGGAAATTTGTGTTTATTTGAGAAATAGGTACCAACCAGATCTTAGAGCTTTGGGATGAGTGTTTGCTTATGTGTGAGACCAGAAACATTCGGTTGACCCAGATTCCCTTCCCTGACTTTTAGTTTATTTCATTTATTGAGGAATCAATATAAAAAGTGCTTTTTGCTTAGGAAATGTGTGCTTTTCCATACTGTTGTGTTAAATCTCACTTTTCAGGTTTCTAAATTTGGGGCAAGTTTTTCTATTTTTCTTTCTGTATGATCATCTTGATGGGTTTTTAATTTTTTTTAACTTCCATTAATAGCTGGATTTCTGACTTAGACTTTTTGTAATAGTAACATTAGCAGCATGCTAATTTCTGGGTCTAGATAAGTTGGTGGCTCTTGGGAGTATTTCTGGAATGCCATACAATATCGTATCATTACATGCAACAGAATGAGTGGTGTTATTTTCTCCTGCTAGTACAAAATTTGGATAAACTTTTGTAGGATAAATTATCTTTAGATAAATTTTGATACTAAGAAAAAAAAGTGAGGGGCACCTGGGTGGCTCAGTCCATTAAGCGTCTGCCTTCGGCTCAGGTCATGATCCCGGGGTCCTGGGATCGAGTCCCACATCGGGCTCCCTGCTCAGCAGGAGGCCTGCTTCTCCCTCTCCCTCTGCCTGCCTCTCTGCCTACTTGTGCTCTCTATCTCTCTGTCAAATAAATAAATAAAATCTTTAAAAAAAAAAAGTGAGAAAGTAGGATTTTTTTAGTAGAGAGCAATGTTACTGGACAAAACACAGCTGCAATAGAAGAAAATTATTATTATGTGTTTTCTTTTTTCTGAGTCATATTTTTTCCCACGTAAAAGAAAGAGTTGTGTAAGTGATTGCTAACATGCATTTATATATATACATATACATATACATATAAAATATTACTATCATTTCTAGGGAAATGATAACTGAAAGTTAGTTACAGAGAGGTAATATAGAAAAATATGTTTACTGCCTTGCCTGTTTTTGTTGTTGTTTTTGAAGAGCACTAGGAAATGGCATTTTTTGTTTTGAATTGTTTTTTACTGTTCAATAAGATTATTGGAACTTGGCCTCATGATTGGTTTTAAAGCTAACTTTATTGCTATTTCACTTTTTATGTGTTCAGTCTGTTAGTCCTTGCATTTAAAAACTCCTGGGTATTGATGTTAGTTAGTTAATTCAGGAAGATTCTCTGTTTGTCAAAATACTAAATATATTATGCACATTACTTTGGCTTCTGAAATGACTTGTATATGGTCATGTTCACTTAAGATAAGTGTTCTCTTCTTTTAAAACAACCTTGGGGAAACATGGACAAAGTCCTGTAGCAATGAGAAATTCTAGTTTTATAGCTCCTTCCAGCTCTTTTAGATTCTTAAGATAGTTACAGGTTTTGGCCATGCCTACTATGATACGCAGAAATCAACATGACAAAACCAAACAAAGGTCTGACTACTTAAAGAAAATATAACTCGCTCTGTATCCCCAATTTGTGAGATAGAAAGTATTATAGTCAAGGTGTCGTGCTGTCCCATTGCCAGACTCCATTCTTCCATTAACAACCAGGACGTCCATATATCTCTAACATCCAAACCATAAAGAGTTGCTTTTTCTTTTTTGGCCCCCATTATTAGGTATATACCATTGAGGAATCTGGACTAAACATCCTCGTGTGGTCAGTGATTGGAAGCAAAAGAACTGGTTGGATGTATGGGCATGTCCCTCTCTCCAGTAACAGTGCATTTAAAGTGGCATTTGAAGCTGATTTGGCTGGAAATGAAGAAATCTTTATTGCCCTTGATGACATCACTTTCACCCCAGAATGTGTCTTTGGAGGTAAGTGACTTCTTTAGTAGACGGGGTGTATAAGGATTGTTTTACTATCCAAATATAGAAGAACTGGGAATTCCTGCTGAATAACATTTGTTTCCAGGTCCAGTACTATTCATACATTGAAAGAAGATCAGTATATGTTGTAGGAGGTAATGTAGGAGATAAATTTTTCTGCCCATGAGCTTAACCATCAAGTTTTCATGTCCTCTAGGCAACCAAATTACTTTGATTACAGTCCTTAAGAGACATAGGGGAAAGTTAGTTTCATTAGAAGAGCATTATTGTCTACTTTCCTACTTTCTTTATTTCTAAAGGTTCACAAGAACTACATAAGGATTCTTCTGGTCACCTGTCATCTTCCAAAGTACCTTTTCCATCCGAATTAGCTTTCCCCCATTCCCTGGACCATTTCCCTTCTCCTCACTGTTTCTACTGTACAATCTAGAATTCATAGTCAAAACAAGAGTCTTGTCAATAACGGTTTTTGTAAGAAATCATTCCCTTAACTGAAATCTGAATTTCTCCTATTTACGATGCTTCCGCTTAAGTGGCCATTTGTTCTTTATAAAGTCTTCAGATTTTCATTGTTAAATAATAGGGTCATTGTCTTTCTAGCTACTCTATGCCTCATTCAGAATTTTATTTTTATAGAGTTATTTAAAAGTTTCTTCTTTTGGGGACACCTGGCTGGCTCAGTCTGTAGAGCATGTGACTCTTGATCTTAGTGCTGTAAATTCAAGCCCCACATTGAGTGTAGAGATTACTTAAAAAAATAGAAATTAAAAAAAATTAATTTTCTTCTTTTTAAGGCCACACATCTGGGTTCTTATCCTTCCAATGGTTTTTTTTCCCTGGATCCTAAGTCCTGGGCAATTTCAACTTCCAGGTCACTCAGCCTATATAAAAGGTTAATCTTTTCAATTCTAGTTACCTTCATAAATATTCTTCCTCCATAACCAGCTTCCACACTTACATCCTGGATCTTATCATCCTGTCTGAAATTTTAGAGTTGAAAATTTCATCTGATCATTATATCCTCTACTTCCTGATTACTCCTCCTAAACGTGTTTTCAAACATAATTAACAAGAAAAAAAAATACAATTCTAGATTCTCAGTGCTTCTTGCTTTCTTCTATAAAATAGCTTCTTTATACTTTTTTCCTAATAATCCCAGATCTAATGATCTAACATCTCAATTCCATTCTCAGTCAGTACTTTGAATTATTTTATGTCTAATTTTTTTATTTTTTTATTAATTCTTTAAAAGATTATTTATTCATTTGAGGCAGGGAGAGAGAGAGAGAGCACTAACAGGGGGAGGAGGTCAGAGGGAGAGGGAGAAGCAGACTCCTCAGTGAGCAGGGAGCCTGATGCAGGGCTGGATCCCAGGACCCTGGGATCATGACCTGAGCTGAAGGCAGACGCTTAACCATCTGAGCCACCCAGGTGCCCCTATGTCCAATTTTTTAAAGATAAATTTGGGTTCTAATTATGTGCCAGGCATTGTATGTATTAGCACATTTATTTATCGGACTCTAGAATAAATACAAATATCCAGGTCATGTTCAGTCATAATGGCCTTCTCAGTCTTTGAAATTGGGTTACTATAACCATTTGTATTTTCCAGGCTGCTGCTGGTCATGCTCATTGGGACCACTAAAAGTTTTGGTTTATCACCTTAGCTGGTGGTCAAGTGTCCTACATACATCTATTTCCCATTCCCTGGCACTGCTTTTCTACAACAGTCCTCAAATCTCCCAGCTACTCCCTTGAAATTTCTTCACTTTGCCAATGTTCTTATATCCTTTGAATAGAAAATAACCCCCTTTTGAAACAAATTCCCCTAACCTTTTTTTTTTCCACCTCTAAATGTGCCTGTATCTACAACCAAACACGTTTTTTGTCACTATTTGTCTCAGGGGAAACCCTCAGTCTTTCCAAGAGCAAATGTTCTTGGTCATTTCCTTTCTTAGTTCCTTCCAGTCACTGTTCCATCAAAGTCTTCTCTGTCCTGTATCTTCTGTTTCTTTCCTTCTCCTACTTATTCTTAGCTCTTCTCACACACATGGAAGCAAACATACATACATATGTGTATACATACATATCTACACATACATACACTTACATGCATTTATACATCACTTCCCACTAATTTTGAGCTCCTCAAGAGCAAGAGGAGTTTGTCTATTTCATCTCCAGAGTTTAACATGAGGACTAGGAAATTTGGGCTGAAAAGTTACTATTATTCTAAATAATCATAATAACAATTGTAACTGATTATGTGAGCAGAGTTGCTAACATTTGCTTAAGTATAAGAAGGTTCTTGCCCACTGTGTTACAGAACAGATTCTACTTTTGAGGACAGTTAAAAAACAAACAATAAGACCTCTGGCATTAAACCATGTCTTCTTTCTGTAAGTTTCTGTAAAAGAAGTGCCTCCAACCAAACCCCCATCCAAAATCCAGAATCTCTAGGTGTAGTTCATACAGCAATGCTTCATGGTTGATTCAGGCAGACATTTTTAGAAAATCATCAATTAAACCCCAGCATTTCTCCAGTGGGGGTATCAGGACCCCCATAGTGACATGCCAGGAAGCATGCAATACCACCAAATAACCTGGTTGCAACTCCACTGGATTCACTTGAAGATCTGGGGAGAGAGGTGATGTAAAGTGTTATGTGACATTTGGAGTAAACATGTTCTGAGTGGTAGAGAGGTGACAGCTGGACTAAAATTGTGGAGACACAAGTCTAAATCATGACTGTCTCACTAAGTAACTATAATTTTGAGAAAATCATTTTAACTCCTTAGACCATGTTTTGTCATCAGGGAAATGAAGTAGACGATCTCCTAAGTCCCTTCCAAATCTGCCATTTTAGGATCAGGCAGGACTGGATTTGTACAAGAGGATCAGGAAAGCGGAAGGAGTGCATAGAGAATGACAGAGAAAGGGAGTGAGTCCAGAGGGAAGGAGGCAGGGACAGGTAAGGGGGTGCAAGGGTAAGGGCAGACAAATGAAAGCAGAGGTGTCACTGCAGTTAGAGAAGGCTCATCACTCTTCCGTGTATTGGTGAACTTGAGCAGGCCTGCCCTTCATTTAGCCAGTGTTAGTTGAGAATCTACTGTGTGCTGTCCTGGATTTGGATTGGAAGGGCAGTTATGAATAGAAGTTTAGAAGTTTTTTTGTTTTTGTTTTTTAACCCCCCCCATTACCTTAGTCTAAACACACCTCAGGCAACAAATTCTATAGATTTTGCCTTCTTTTTTCCCCCCTTGCTTCCATTTTACCGCTCAAACTCTAGTTCAAGGCGTCCTTATTACTCATCAGAATCTCTGTAATGGCTTCATAACTGATTTATCTAATTTACTGACATGTAAAGAACTACCAAATTCATCTTCAAGGACCTATGATAGAGTACAATCCAGAAAAGTAGATCTGGCATCTTTCTTATTCAACACAATAACAAATTTTTTTTTTCAAGCAACAGAATCTGACTTGAGCTAACTTAAGTCGAAACTAAGTTTGTTGAAAGGATTTTGGATAGTTCCAAAAAGTAATGGAATACTGAGAATCTAACTCAGCAAAATGAGTGGGAAGCAAGTGAGATGAAGTATATCAGAGGATAAAACTGGCTAATTCCACCATCTTTGAATACTTGCTTTGGAAACTGGTCTATCTACTCCCCTGTCATCACTCTGAATGATCTCTAACAGTCCCTGTGTCACTACGTCAGAATTAAAATTGCTAGTTGGAAGCATACCCTTGACCAATCCCATGCTTCAGGGTCCCCTAGGTTATGCTCTTATATCTAATCTCCACATCATCCAGGTCTGCATGATGGCCAATTCTCTTGTTGCTCATAATCAAGCTTGAATACTCTGCAGCATATGGACCAAATTGTAAAGTTAACCAGGAATAATGAATTATCTGTCTGTACTCTAAGGGAGAGAGGGGAAATAAAAGGGAAACTAATCAAAATACACAAATTCATACAAGTTATAAAGAAGAAGAAAAATGCTTAGAGGCTCTCAATTACCCACTAACTAAGCTTCGTATCCGTTAGTACAACTCTTGTCTTACCTGTCTCTGTCTATGAAATAATCCCTCAAAATGAGACCCCCTGCCTCTATCCAGCCATGCCCCATAGCCTTCCACCTCCATGACTTTGGTCCCACCACCTCTCTGGCTGGAAACGCCCTGCCCTTTACCTTCTCTTGTGTAAATGGTTTTCCACTTTGATGGGCAGAGCAACACCACCTTTTTCACGACTTTATCCTTAATAGTCCCCAATATAGGGAAGCCAAACCCTATTGCAGATTCTCTTAGCCTGGTTTACAGCTCTCCTATAATACAGCTTACATGGTGTTTTGTGATATGCATGGCTTATTTTCAGTCATTTTTTTGGTCCATGTTAAAAAATCACCCTCGTCATTATTTTGTTTTGTGTGTGTGTATGTGTGTGTGTGTGTGTTTTAATATTAGTGAGAATGAGTGATCTTTAACTTTTAGGTTGAGAAAAATATAAAATAAATTTCAAGTCAGCATATGATACAGAATACTCATTTTATATCAGAAGCGATATGGTAATTATAGATGAATTATTTAAAACATGATTTTAATGTATGTTCATTTTTATAATTTTGTTTCAGTTAGTGATTCATGAGCCTAATTTTAAAATTAATAGTGATAATTACAAAAAACCTGAAAGAAAATGGTAATCAGTCCATCCCAGTTCACTTCCTGGCTTCTAGAATATTGTTAGATTTTAAATCTATTATTGTGGGTCATGAAGTCCTCACAGTTTATCAAAGGATGGGATAATTCCTTTCTACCCTGGGAAAGGATGTTACATTTAAAGGAAAAACAAAACAAAACATAAGAACCAGAAAATGGCATTAAATGCTACTACCAGGCAGGTTTATGCAAACAAGACCCGGATTCCCCCTTGTCTGCATTTGGAGCAACTTGCGTATTATACTATGAGACGGTTCTTACTTGAT